GTATGTTCACTTATAGTTGATTGAGCTTGGGTTGATTTGTTATCTTTGTTAGGTACAAGAGAGAGCTTTATGACCTCGTGAAGAAAAGAACACAAGATGAAGATAACGTCGAGGAGGTAACATTGTCATCTTTCTGGACCCTTCTCCCACCTGGTTCTGTAGAATTTCTATATATCTAACGCATCTCCCTTTTACTTCTACCTCTCGGAGTTCAGTATAGAATTCCAGATGCTTATGATCAAGAGGGAGGTGTTGATCAGGAGAAGAGGTTTTCTGTTGCTGTACAACGATACAGGTGAGTTGACAAAGAGCGCTTTGCTAGTGATCCAACACATTGTTATCTGCTTGTACTCGCAATATCTATCTTTATTATTTTGCAAAATACTTTTGGGCGTCCTAAATCATACTTTTTGTTTAGGGACCTGGATTCAACAGAGAAAATGAATCCCTTCGCAGAGCAAGAAGCTTGGGAGGACCATCAGATTGGTAATTTCTGCTTTAACTCTATTTCTGTGGACCAGTCATTTTTTACAACCCACTGGTTTAAGTGACTTTGTTTACTTGTATGCTAATTTAAATGACATTGTAATGCAGGAAAAGCAACATTAAAATTTGGTGCAAAGAATAAGCAAGCCTCAGACGATTATCAGTAAGATCTGTTGTATATTTGTTCTTTTATTCTTATTCTACTGCTTTGTCCTTTGGAATTTGTTTATCTCGTTTGAGAAATCGTCCTTGCTAGCTCTTAAACATGGATTAGACCCATGATCTGGGGATTCTAAATGTTTTTGTTTTTTGCAGGTTTGTGTTTGAGGACCAAATAAATTTCATAAAGGAATCTGTCATGGCTGGTGAAAATGTATTATTGCCTATGATGTCTATTAAACCTGATGATACCTTCTGTCATATGTAGAGTTGTAGCTGAATACTTGTATTTGTAATGCAGTATGAAGATGATATGGATGCAAAACAAAAATCTCAAGATTTGGCAGAGAAATCAGCTTTAGAGGAACTTCAGGTGCTAGCTTTTTTCTGTTTTTTCTCCATTAACTCTGTTTGATCAAAGTCAACCACCACATCTTCTTTTTAGGATGTAATTCAGAATAAGTTAAGACTGTATGTTTCTTTCAATTAATATCCGTAGCAAAAACTAAAACTCATCTTGACATGTTCTTGCATCTGTTTATTTGTGAATCAGGAAGTCAGAAGAAGTCTGCCGATTTATACGTATCGTGATGACCTGCTTAAGGCTGTGGAAGAGCATCAGGTAATTTAAGCTTTCATGCCAATTTTGAAATCATCTAATAACAAACGAGAAGCTTACTTTACCAATCCCTATCGAAAACAGTATTTTTCAGTTATAGTATATAAGTATGTGTAACTGATACAAGGTCAATAGAGAAGGAAGTACTTCTAAATAAAAGAAAGCATCAAATTTCTGTGTTACGTGCAAATGAAGATTTAGATTGAAATGTTGATTATGAAATTGTGCATAGCTTTTTCTTTTTCCAGTAAATGGTTTTCTCTGCTATATGTAATTGAAATTTGATACCTTTTTCTTTCAACTTTTTTTCTTCAATATATTAGGTTCTTGTCATTGTGGGAGATACTGGTTCAGGAAAGACTACACAAATACCACAATATCTCCATGAAGCTGGTTACACAAAGCGTGGAAAGGTACAACCTACTGCTTGTCCCAAATTGCAGGATATAGTTAAACACACATATTTCCTTCAAAAAGGGACGGTTAGCGTAGAAGTCACTAACAATTTGGTGTTATTTCTTTAACTGAGAGCTGTTAGTTTGCTGAGAACAAACTTAGCCATTTCTTATTTTCCTGTGAAGTTGTCTGTTTTTTCTTCCAAAGCTATTTTATTAAAGGTATACTTGGATTAGGAAGAAAGCCGTTGTTCATGACCTTTGTGGTTGGATGAGTTCAAAAGTATAGAGTAACGGTAAAGTAGTTCCTTTACCAAATAAAGTACCATAATGCTTTTCTATTATATTTCAGGTTGGTTGTACGCAGCCCCGAAGAGTTGCAGCTATGAGTGTTGCTGCCCGTGTGGCTCAAGAGATGGGTGTCAAACTTGGACATGAGGTATGTTGGCTTCTTTTTTCGTTTTTTTTCTGGTGGTAGTTGATTGTTTCACATTGTCGGTTCAGTCTCAGAATCTAAACTTCGGTTGGTACTTGTCACAGGTTGGCTATTCCATTCGATTTGAGGATTGTACTTCAGATAAAACAGTTCTGAAGTATATGACTGATGGAATGCTTTTGCGTGAGCTACTTGGCGAACCAGATCTGGCCAGCTACAGGTAATGAATATTCTTGCACATTTTTTATTACTACTATTGGAAAGCTAACCGTTTTTGTTTACTGATTGCAAAACCTTTCAGTGTCGTTATTGTGGATGAGGCGCATGAAAGGACCTTGTCAACCGATATACTTTTTGGATTAGTTAAGGCAAGTAGATTTTCTCGTACAATGTCTCTTCTTACTTGTGTAACCAGGGTTAAATCCTTGGATACATTCTGATTGACTCTACTTATATTTGACAGGATATAGCGCGGTTTCGACCTGATTTGAAGTTGTTGATATCTAGTGCAACAATGGATGCAGAAAAATTTTCTGATTATTTTGACACAGCCCCGATTTTTAGTTTTCCTGGAAGAAGGTATCCAGTTGAAATCAACTATACAAGTGCACCTGAAGCTGATTACATGGACGCAGCGATAGTTACCGTCCTTACGATCCATGTGAGGGAGCCACTTGGAGATATATTGGTCTTCTTCACTGGTCAAGAGGAAATTGAAACTGCAGAAGAGATCTTGAAGCACAGGATAAGGGGTTTAGGTACAAAGATCCGCGAATTAATCATATGCCCGATTTACGCAAATCTTCCAAGCGAACTCCAGGCAAAAATATTTGAGCCAACTCCAGAGGGGGCACGGAAAGTTGTCCTAGCAACAAATATCGCTGAAACATCATTAACCATTGATGGTATAAAGTATGTTGTTGATCCAGGCTTTAGCAAAATGAAGTCATACAACCCGAGAACAGGGATGGAATCTTTGCTTATTACTCCTATCTCCAAGGCTTCTGCAACTCAACGAGCTGGTCGAGCTGGAAGAACAAGTGCAGGGAAGTGTTATCGTCTGTACACAGCGTTTAATTATAATAATGACTTGGAGGAAAACACGGTGCCAGAAGTACAGAGGACGAATCTTGCTAGTGTGGTACTTGCTTTGAAGAGTCTTGGAATTCATGATCTCATAAACTTTGATTTCATGGATCCTCCACCTGCTGAAGCACTTGTGAAGTCTTTAGAACTGCTCTTTGCTCTGGGTGCTCTAAATAAGCTCGGGGAATTGACTAAAGCTGGTAGAAGGATGGCAGAGTTTCCCCTTGATCCTATGCTGTCGAAGATGATTGTTGTTTCTGACAAGTATAAGTGCTCCGATGAGATAATATCAATTGCTGCTATGTTGTCAATTGGTGGCTCTATCTTCTACCGTCCTAAGGACAAACAGGTTCATGCCGACAATGCAAGAATGAATTTCCACACCGGTAATGTCGGTGACCATATTGCTTTGCTAAAGGTTTGAACCTAACCTTCTGTATTCCTTTTTTTTCCACTTCATTCCACTAATTTACACTGCTATTCTCTGTATGTTTTAACATTGTCTTCGTTTTTCTCTTCAGGTTTACAGTTCATGGAAGGAAACAAACTACTCTACTCAGTGGTGCTACGAGAACTACATTCAGGTACCAAGTTGTCTCTTTTTTTTCTTTGGTCAAAATACCAAGTTGTCTCTTTATGTTTATCAGATCTCATGTGGATCCAATTGACATTTGTTTTGGGTCAAACATGTGTTCAGGTCCGGAGCATGAAAAGAGCCAGAGATATCCGCGACCAATTGGAGGGACTTCTCGAAAGAGTGGAAATAGAAATCAGCTCAAACCTGAATGAATTGGATTCCGTTAGGAAATCCATCGTTGCCGGTAATATTCTTACTCTCATTCTCTTTTTTGTTGATTTGGAATGTATAATTCTCTACAAGTATGCCTCTGCTAATGAACTTCTTACTTATACTCAGGATTTTTTCCGCACACTGCAAAGCTACAGAAGAATGGATCATATCGAACAGTGAAGCATCCCCAGACAGTGCACATACATCCCAATTCAGGCTTATCTCAGGTTAATGAATTCTCACTCTACATAAACCAGAAATATCTGACTATTGACAGAATCTTAAAACTTTGAATATTGATATTGTCAATGCGTATTGTAGGTATTGCCGAGATGGGTTGTATATCACGAACTAGTGCTTACTTCCAAGGAATACATGCGGCAGGTAATTAATATGTTTGATACTGCAAGGTTTAACCAGAATTGGAAATTTTTAATTACTTTTGGTTTAACTTCTTGGTTTCATTCATCGGTTTGTTTGTATGCTAAAATACTCGTATACCCGAAAATGCAGGTAACGGAGTTGAAACCAGAGTGGTTGATTGAGTTAGCTCCTCACTACTACCAGCTCAAGGACGTTGAAGATGGTATGTACCTTTTTTCTCTCTGTCCAGTTATAATTTGTCTTTTGTAAAATCGAATCTTACAAAACCGATCTTAAATATTATTTCAGCTGCATCAAAGAAAATGCCCAAAGGAGCTGGAAAAGCTGCAATGTAAGAACTCAGATTGGATTGGCAAAAGAATAGTGGAAAGAGATGTGAGTAAATATGACTTTGACAAATTGTTAGAAAAGCTCTCTTTACTACATTAACTCATTTTTGGTCAGCCTCCTGAGTTTTTGTTCGAATATATTTAAAATGTTATGAACAGTTCAAATGACCAACTTATTCCTGTTGTTATATAGTGAAAGGTCGAGCTACATTATGTCTGAAATAATAACTTCGTTTCCTCTCAAATAAAGTATCAAGCAAACTTATTTGGAAAACATTTCGAGTTTACTTTGGAAAAAATGTGGTTAGAAAACTGAGATTCTCGGTGTGTGAAGTCAATCCAAGTTTGCAATTACAGCATCAACAACCTCCTGTGTAGTAGTATTACTGTTTCCACACTTTCCTTCAGAGACAACACGTTTCATGGCGGTTTCAAGCCGATCTGCAAATAAAGGAAGCAGGAGATGTCTCAGCATCATAACCGAAGAGAACAGTAATGCCACAGGATTTTTATGGTTTTCTACTGATCCAACTTGATCAAAGATTGCATACTCAGAACCAAAACTTCCTCCAGGTATAATTTCCCCATTATTGCCTCCTCCAGCAATACCAACAGCAATGTTTGCAATTATGTTCCCATAGAGATTTGGAGTTACAATGACGTCGAATCGCTCTGGTTTCTCTACAAGTTGCAAACAGCATTTATCAATACCGATTTCGTTGTAGGTGATACTTGGATACATTTTAGCAACTTCTTGACAAGATTCCAAGAAGAATGAATCAGCCAGTTTTTCGTGTTTTCCCTTGTTGTGAACTGCTGTAACTTTCTTCCTCTTGCTTAATTTAGCATATTCAAAAGCATACTTTGCTATACGATCAGACCAGAACTTAGTCATTGTTACCTGAAAGCTCTGTATGACACCGGGAACAACTTCGTGCTCCCGCCCTACACATTCACCTTTCGTGTTCTCTATAACCACCACACAAGGAGTTATTGACTCTGCCATTCAAGCACACTTTGTTCTTCCGTATCGAGTCCACTACTTCCCGCGGCAAATGATTCATATTTTTCCCCTTTATGTAGTATGTCTCGAAGTAGACCGGCGCATGCATTGCATCCATCACCTGCTCCACCGCGTTTGTCAAAACACCGTGGATAACCGTCACGGGTCTGGCCAAATAAGTTGCGGATCGGGTCTGAATTCCAGACCCGGTAGTGATACTACTGAGATTCTTCATGATAGATATGTATCGGTGAGACATGATCCACCTACAATTTTGGGTGGAAGATGATCCACTTGGTCAGTTATGAATTTTAAACGATCACAAAACATTAGCTGATGCTGATCCATGACATGTTCTTGGAAAAGTAAAAATACATGTCCAAGTTAAAGAGTTGACTAAAGTAAGAGTTAGAACATAATGGAAGTTATGGAACACATGTCCTCGATTGAAGCATGACTTAGACCGGCGATTTTATTAATTCGTATAGACAGCAAAAAAAACAATTGGCTTTGGCTCATGTTCTTCTTCCCCTTGCAGAGAATAGATCCATCATCTCGGATCATGTATTTATCCTTTCGTAATTTGAATGAACCCTATTGGGTCGAGGATTATGATACCAGATGAAGTTTCATGAGCAGCAACCCCAAAGCCAATTGTTAATTAATACATTAACTCATGCTTCTTATATACTAGATTAGATTCTTAATTGTCTCCGATGTGGGATTAGTTACTCATTACTGTTTGGAAATTTCGATTTCTGACCGACACTATTATCATCGTAAGGTACCGTAAACCCCAAGTTATTATGTTTATCGGCCCAAAATAAGCCCGTTTAATTTTTTTGTTCTTATTTATATATTTATTTGACTTTGTTCAAAACCTTCTGAGTGGTGGAGAAGGTTTGGGTCACACTTTTTTCGACGACAACATTAAGATGAGGCCTTTGTTTTCTGCCATACATCTAAAGATAGAACACAAACGTCAATAAAAGCAAATTAAGATCTCTCTTTACTATTTTCCCACTTTCCTTTGACAAAACACACAAAAAAAAAAAAGAAACCAGAAGAAAAAATGGCATTGAGAATGTGGGCTTCTTCTACAGCAAATGCTCTCAAGCTCTCTTCCTCTGCCTCCAAATCTCATCTCTTGCCAGCTTTCTCTATCTCCAGATGCTTCTCCTCAGGTAAGAAAACAACATCTTTTGACACAACTTGTGTGTTGCATTGGTTCTGTTTTACGACTCTTGTCTGAAACTCTGTACTGGGTGTTTGGTTTTTTAAGTGTTGGAAGGACTTAAGTATGCAAATTCACATGAGTGGGTGAAACATGATGGCTCAGTTGCTACAATTGGTATCACTGACCATGCCCAGGTAATTAAGACATAACCCTCAGAACTAGTTTAGATCAGTTTTAGTGTCTGAAAGAGAGATTATCTACATGTTGATAATGTGCAGGACCATTTAGGAGAAGTTGTGTTTGTGGAGCTACCAGAAGCAAACAGTTCAGTGAGCAAAGAAAAAAGCTTTGGAGCTGTTGAGAGTGTTAAGGCCACAAGTGAGATTCTATCTCCCATCTCCGGTGAAGTCATTGAGGTTAACACAAAGCTTACCGAGTCACCTGGTTTGGTAAGTTTTTTTTACAAAATACCTCTGTTTGTGGTGTGGTGCGGATCAATCTGATTAGTCTATTTTCGTTTGTGTAGATCAACTCAAGCCCTTACGAAGAAGGTTGGATGATAAAGGTGAAACCAAGCAGCCCCGCGGAGCTGGAAGCCTTGATGGGTCCAAAGGAATACACCAAGTTCTGCGAAGACGAAGATGCTGCTCACTAGGGTTTCTTCGGCTTTCATCTTTCCCGAATGTTCAACAAAACAAGAGAGTCCATGCTTAAAGTTTCAATCTTTCATTTCTCAATGTTTCTTACCACTCTCAGCTTGCATCAGTGTGATACTAATTTGATTGAAAGATCATCCAATGCGACTCAACAGAGCTTTTAGCTTATATAAGACATGTCAAAGAAACACACACACACACACACACACAAAACAGAAACTTCATTGATTTTCAATCATATAGTTGAGGAGAAACGTTTTAACATATAACAATGGTCTCACTTTTAGACCAAACCAAAGTCTTTTGCATAAGAAAGTAAAGACTTCTTCAAGCTGTACACAAACTTCCTATCCACGACATATACCGTTAGGCAGGGTCGGCGAAACAGCTACATCCACATCCGGTGAAGGTGACGGTGACTCGTCGTAGGATATCGAAATCAGCTCATCTCTGAGCTTCTCCTCATCATGCTTGTTTCTTTTGGTACCTCCGTTTGAGATATTGGTGACAGGTTTCACATCTGAGTACGTTATAACCTCGTCTTCCTCCGGTGAAGTGTAAGAGATTTCGATGAGCGATTCACGGGCTTGTTCTTGAGAGGTCTTGTTGTTCCTCGGTTGTTCCATCAATACCTTTAAACTTCTGCATAATTTTTAGACCAGAGAAACAAAACCCATCTTACATTGTTCTATATGAAAACAACAATTACGTTTTCACAACAATTTCAAAATCTCTAATCATTTTCACATTGAAACAAAACCCAATTAAAAATCCAAATTCTCCAATCAACAACAACAAAGACAAATCCATGTAAAAAAAATTAAAACTTTACAATTTATACAAATCAAAAAACGAATCAATCACTAATCTTTAAAAAACCCTAAATTCTCAAAATTAGCCCCCAAAAGTCAACGCAGTTTCTAGTTTTTTTTTGTTTCTCTCTTCCTCTCCGAACTCTCGAGATTTTCCCAGGAAAAAAAAACGAAACTTTCGGATTCAATTACACATACGAAAAGAAAAAAAAACAGAGAAGAAATCGGAAAATCAGAAGAAGAAAGAGATGGAGCAGAAATCGGTACCTTGGGTTGATGATTCGTCTTCGTACGGTAATGAAAAAAAGACAAATTGGATAATATTTTTGGTATTTTGATTTTTATTGCCGAGTTTTGTTTCCACGTTTTTTATTTGACGTTAAAGAGTTAAATATTCTTTGCCAGCTCGTTCACACGTCGACAATGATCTTCAATTAGCAAGTGGGGGATTTATATTGACAACTAGGTCCTTTATTTTTCTCTTATATTTAGGATTATCTATCGTAATCTTAAATAATCTTTATTAGTCCTGGGTTAATATCAATGGTTAAGATAAGTGTTAGGCGTTAAGTAGGCAGCGAGTCTCCTTCTAACGCCTAAAAAACCTAATTGGAGTTTAGACAGTTTTAAAATAAAATCATAATATATATAATAAAAATATATAATAATACTAAAAGAAAATTTAAAATTTTCATATTTAAAAACTGAATTCAAATTTACATGTGAAATAGAATACTATGAAAAAAGCAAGAAATATTATTTTTTTAGATACAGTTTTGAACTTTAAAGAATAAAAAAATATTATACATATAAAACGGCTTAATCCGTCTAACCCGCTTAATTACCGTATAATCCTCCAAATCTAACCATCAGCCTAACAGCACCGCCTAAGATATTTTTTTGAAAATTAGTTAATATAAAATTGATTATTATTTTCTTAGATTATAATATGTGTATAAGACACACCAAAAAAAAATGATATGTGTATAAATGTTTAGAAATATGAGAAACTCACAATTGAATAAACGATGGGATAGTGTTAAAACAAATAGAACTTAATAGCGAACAAATAAATTTAGAATGTAAAAAGTGTAATAATAGGATATGCAATTGTTCAAATTGTAATATGAAAGAATAAAAAAGAATAGTCTCCTAAGAAAATATGGTAAAACGAATATATCAATTATAAATTGTACTCCCTATGTTTCAAAATATATGATGTTTTGTTTTAAATTACACATTTTAAGAAAATTTATTTTGTTCTCTTGAAACTATCATTTGATATTTGGTTTTAAAAATTTAACTAATTAGAGAAACGACTGCACAAATACAAACAGTTATAAAATATTATCTATATTTAAAACGGCATATAAATTTGTAAAACATCATATATTTTGAAACAAAATAAAAACTTTAAAACATCATATATTCTGAAACAGAAGGAGTAATTGATTTGAAAATTTTATTTTCTAAATATTAGAAGTAAACTAATAACATAAATACGACAATGAAGAAGATGTTAAAACAGGAAAGTTGACACCACCAAAAATGGGAATGGGTATATCAAAAAGGAAAGTTGATAAAAAAGATGTTTAAGAGGGAAATTGAAAAAAAAATATTAGAAAGGGAAAAGTAAACTACTTGAAGGAAAAAAATACTCTATTTATTTCATACTAATATGAATTTTAAAACTTTAGAATATGATATAATTATATAAATTGTAAATCTAATATATTATACCTTAACTTGAATCTCTTTATTTATTTTCAGTGACACATCAAGTAATAAACTAGAAATTTAAGGTTATGTTCATAAATATACTTATCAAATAATATTAGTAGAATATCTCAATTTATAGACTAATCATATGCTTACCAAAAAAAAAAATATAAAAATTTTTGTTATTACAGGTTTTAATGTATTAATAGTATATGTTTGGGTGAAATTTTGTCTCTTAATTACTAGACGAATCTCTTATTCTTAGCGTTACTTGTATTTAGATTAGGTGAATTGTTACTCACTTACTTGTATTTAGATTAGGTAGTGAATTGTTTAGTGTCATTGCTTTACTTCAACTCCTTCAAGCTCATAGAGCAGAGTTATACGGCATTGCGGCAATATTGTCCACCATTATATAAGACACTTACATAATATGGTGGTCAAAATAGGTATTTATCAGCTAAACCTCTCCAAAAAGCTATCATTGATGCATTCGGGTTTCAGTAAGAATTAAGAAATGAAGAACATGAATGTGTCGTGAGAGATTGAACAAGTTATAACAAAATCAAGAGTGGTGTAGAAATCATGCCAAAGATACCCATCAAGATTCAGAAACAGAAGTAATGTAAATAAATAACAATATAAATAAGAAATAAAAGTAATACCATACAAGTTTGACAAAACCTGGAGATCATTCAAATAACCCTATTATCAAAGGTCAAGCTGACTAGGGCCTAGGGGTGATATCGACATCCTCGCAAAGCTCCCCGGAAAATGGCTGAAAGTTCTCGTAGAAAACCTAACTGGAAGGAAACAAGAAGTGTAGACCGAGACTTCTTGATCATAAAATTATAAGTCATGATCAATCATATTTGTGTGGCCATTTTCTTTTTATGGTTCTAGATTATAATATTATGTGCCAGCTAATTCACACGTCGGCAACGATATGCAATTAGCAAGTGGGGTTTAATTGAAAACCGGCCTTATTGTTCATAATGCCATTTATTGGCAAGAAGTTATGGATCTGCCATTTTCCATTTGGGTTTGTGGATTTGCCACTTTTCATTCAACAAAAAGACAATTTTGTCCTTCACATATCCACAAAAATATGTAAATCCATCCTTGCCATCCAGCACCACAACGCAAACACTGAGTCAGAGTAAGATATCTTGCAACTGAAATCTAAACTAATATGTACATGTATCCACAAGAATTAATTACAAATATCGATACGACATGCAAGAATCTGGTATAACACATAACACTTAGATAAAGCATAACTGATATAAAAAAAAAACTAAACCCTAAAGAAAATGGGAACAAGGGAACCCAAGCAAACGAGTATAACGCAAATTTTATATAATACACTAAACTCTAATGGCGATAAAGCAACTCAGATTTCCTTTCTCGAGCAAAGGAAGCGTCAAACACTTGCTAGAACCAATAGATTAACCAATTGAGTTAGGGTTAGTGAATGTTATTCTCTAGTTTTCTCTGCGGCATTTTATCAAACATCTTGTGTGCGCTGAAGATAAAGCAACATCTCTCTTCATTATATCAACAATTAACAGACCTTGTAGATTTGGAGGCAGATCAGCTCAAAAAGAAACAAATAGAACAACCAATATAGCCACGAAAATAATCGAAGAGGCCATGGGTAACATCCGATCTCGAGATTCAATTTGTTGATGAGCAAGGCATCATCGGGTCTATATTTTGGCTGCCAAGGAGGCTTTGAGAGCTTGGACGGCGTTCACCCGGGCTTCAACGGAGGAAGATTTCTCTGATGGCAATTGACGAATGGGACTTCAATTGAAGAAGATGGGTTTGTGACGACGATAAACCATTTTCTCAATCAAAAATCAGAATCTTGAAGGCAGGGTAATTTTGTCTTTTCAATTGGAGTAAAAATGGCAAATTCACAAACTGTTTGGAAAAGGACTAAATCTACAAACGCCACACGAAAAAAGGATAAATTCTGTAATTAATTCTTGAAAACCAGTACTTTATTCTCTTTAAAATTATAGATTTTAGTACCCATCTTTTATTAGTTACCCCTTGGTTCTACTAAAATTATTATAGTTCATAGGAAGGTGAGTCTTAGATCTTATATAAATAGCTTACGATATGCGTAGAAATATAAGAAATGCAAATGGGCAGTAATACATACCCTTAACAATTTCTTAAAAAAAAGTGAAAAAATCTTTTATATATTATCTGAGAAGACATAACTAGAAAATAAAAAGAGGAAAAAAAAAACTAGAAAATAAAAACAAAAGAGGGTTATCCCTGCTATAGAGATTTTCAACAAAAATTGTTGTCGTTTCGCAATTATAATTATTTCACATAGTTTATGTGTCGTAACCCTTGTTTGAAAAATCGCTATGTGCTAGTCGGGCGTTCGGTATGTGCCTAGCGATTAATAAGAAAATCGGATTAAAATCGGAGATTAATCGGAGATTAGTTTTATGGTAATTTTAATATTTTTAAAACATATTAATCTAATATTGTTTTCATAATTGCAGAATACACATAAAACTGTATTTTTGAGATAAATTTTATTATTTTTATTACAAATTTATGATTTTTATTAAAATTTGAACATAAGTTATTGTAAACCATCACAAACTCCCAATTTAAATGATTGAATAACAAAAATAAAAAGTTTTGTTTTTAGAGAAAACTAAGAATAATGCCACACACTGTAGAAAAACTTATTAGAAATGCCACTTTGACTTTCTTCTTCTCTGTGATGCCATACCACCACATAAAAAGACTTAATTACCCTTCACTAAAAGACTTAATTTCAACTCGGTTCCCCTTGTACTTTCACCCTCTACCTATTTCCCCCTATACACATGATATTCTTCACAATTTCACCCATTTCTATAATATTCTACTTTATTCCCCAAAATCAATTAAGCTCCTTAAATGCGTTTTAAAATCACTAAATCGCATTTTAAAATTGATTATCAGCGATTAAACCGGTAATCGACCCAGATCTCATAACCCAAATTGAACATTCTAATTGATAGAGAGGGTTCGATTTTTGCATTAAACCCTAACAAAATCAATTTGGGGAAAAGTATCTTCTCCACCCGACACTCGCTTCTTCTTCTCCGACTGAGACCGTCAAAGACTCCTTCGACATAGCCTCCTCCAACTGAGACTTCTTCATATTCTCTTTTGCAAATTTTAGCTCTTGCTCAATGATCTTCTTGTTCATCTCTTGTTCCATCTCCTTCCCCAAATTTTAGCTCTTGCTCAACGGTCTCAGTCGGAGGATTTCGACAGTCTCAGTCGGAGAAGAAGACAATCGATGTCTTCGCAGGTGTCGGGGTGGAGAAGAAGATTTGCCCAATTTTGTTAGGGTTTTAAGAGAAAAATCGAACCCTCTTTCTGAAACAGAAGGTTCAATTTGGGTTAGTAAATCTGGATCGATTACCGGTTTGATCAGAGAAAATCAATTTTAAAACGCGATTTAGTGATCTTAAAACGCATTTAAGGAGCTAAATTAATTTTGGGGAATTAGGTAGAATTTTATAAAAATGGGTGGAATTGTGAAGAATATCATGTGTATAGGAGGAAATAGGTAGAGGGTAAAAGTACAGGAGGAACCGAGTTGAAACGATATAGTACAGGGGGACAGAGACAAGCATCCCATCTTTTTTTTTTTTTTTTTTTTTTTTTTTCACTCTCTTCTAGTCTTCTCCTCTCCTTTCTCTCTCGATCTCTTTTCTCTCTCTCTCTCT